GCCCTGACACGATCGGAGCAGGTCGACATCTGCCGGCGACAGCTGCGGACCAGCGACCTCGCGTTGGGAGGTCTTCAGAAATGGTTCGGAACAGACTTGACTAGGCTGCGTGATACCGGCAGACTTGGCTGCAATGGCTCCACTTCTAGACGTTTAAAACCTCAAGAGGAGTTGGCTCTACACTTAGAGTGCAGGGCAATGAAAGAAAAATTTCCAAGCCACTGCCGGAGAGCCACTGTAATGCCGAAAACTGTAAAACACGACCCACCCCGAAACTCGTAAACCGAGACTGGATAATTTTTCGAGTCTGGCCTTCTTCGACACTGGAGCTTTTGGCAGGGTTGCAGACTCCGGCCGCTCAAGGGCCTAGACGGAAAGAGATCAGGACCACAGTAGGGTCGAGGCCTCGAAACTCTAAAGGTGCTGCTTCCTTGCGGAAGGAAGGGTCCATCTATGTATCTACTTATTCATCTAGCTAACATAATCTAACGAACCAACTTACTATCGAACTATCTACATAATCTAATCTATCTAGAGTCTTCATACATCAAACGCATGTGCACCTGCAAATGTATTCGCATGTTCATCTGCAAGTAACGGCTGGTAGGTGTTCATTTGGACAGAGTGGCCGTGACAGCAAGCACATCCTGGTGGCAGAACCAGGAGAAACTACACAAACAGCTACAAGTACGAAGCGAAATGCATACTAACATCTGAAGTATTCGTTGCTTTGCCAGAGTGTCATTCCAACATGTTTCACGTTTTGTTGACATGCGGCGTACCACGTGTATAACAAGCACTTGCGAGAGGTGTGCAGATGCTCGATGCCAAATTGGCAAGACGAAAAGTTTGCAGATTCCCTGGCTTCGTGCTGCTTCGGTCGCAATATGTTGCGCCGGGGTTGGCTGGACTCGCTGGGCTGGGCAGAGGCGGGTCGCACTTGTGCTTTACGCGGGCCAATGTAGAAGCAATGCCCATCTTTTCGTTTTCAGACACGACGCCAAGCGCAAACAGTTCAACTCACGCACCTGGTCCAGGTCTTCATCGAGGCGATGTTGGCCATTCCTCGGGAAGAGCTGAAGGGCCTGCTGCGGAGTCCTGCTTCAGTCGGCTTACCGCCCTAGTCCCTCGGCCTGTGTGATTGAATTCGAGAAAACTGTGACCGCACAACCACATCGAGTGAGCACATGGGTTAATGATCGGAACAAAAATGTATCTTCAGCCGCACGGTCCATCGGTACGTTGCAAGGACATCGTTCTGTCGTGTAGCACCTGCGAGTATGCTCCGTAAACAGATGACAACGACGCCCAAGACAGAGGCGAAGCTTCCTATCAGTCTACAAACAGCGGCAATGATGCATGGGAGGCTGAATTCATGCTGTCCCCGAACCGAACCACGACAATTCGCAGCTAACGCGTTCAAGAATTCAATCAGCAGCGGTTTGGCAAATGTTGGCGTTCTGTCTCCTACTAACAACCCCGAACCACTTTGCCAGACAAAACTCAACTGCACCGGCCAGTTCAAGGTCGGGAACTCTGCACCTTTGCCTGTCCTGAGCTGCCGACTTGTCATGGGAAAAAGCTGGGTGCTGAAAGGGAGCATGTACAATGCACTGCTGGCAAGAGTCAATGCGCCGGCTGTCTCGTACGAAGTCACATGCCGGAAGGTGATGGATACCCGTGCCCCGGCATTTTCGGGAGTCTCCGTCTGGCGCACAGCATGGTAGAAGGTCTTGTTGGTCTCCGGCCCAAGCCTAAACAGGCCACCATGCGGTAGCAAGACCTGCAGGCTTGCAAGATGTTTTCGACTAGGAGTCCGATTCGACTGCCTTACTTTGCATGAAGACAGGCTCAGTCCCACCTCCATCTCAGTGGTTGGCTTGAAGATGTCATCTCGCAGAACATACGGCCGCCCGGGTCGCCCCAGGGAGATGCTGACGATAGAGGAATTCTCATCCAGGTCCAGCGTCTTATCCTTCAGGTCGTGCGGATGCTCAGCGATAAACTTGCTGGACTTGGACAAGGCGTCCTCCCCTATGCCCTAGCCCAGTGGATGAAATTGGGGTCCTTGTGGTAGCCGATGCACTCGTTGCCGTCTGCGTAGTACAGGACAACTACATGGTTGAAGGATCCATTCAGCCTGGGAACGCTGGCCGTCAAGGGAGTCTCAACCCAAAGGCCTCGGGAACCCTGAGCCATGGCCAGTCACCACTTGCCGCAAACTGCGAAAACAAGTGTGGGCATTTAGTGGCCCGGACCACCAACCTGCTGCTTTCCCGACACATACTCACACACAAGCAAGCAAGCAAGCAAGCAAGCAAGAAAGCAAGCAAGCAAGAAAGCACCATGAGTGGAGAGCCTCTGGTTCACGCGATCGCAGAGCATGCGCACAGTCGGCGACATGGGAAGGATCCCGTAGCGCTGCTGATCATTGACAGGGAAGCGATACCTTGGGCTTCGAGCTGCGAGGCTTGCAAGGTTCGGGCATGTTCTGGCACCTGGATGCGGCACGAAAGGCCATGGAAGGCCCCTTTCTTGCGGATCTGCCATGGCCACCTTCACCCGCTGCAGTCGCTTCAAAGGCTGGTAGGGCCTAGGCTGATGGAGAAGAGCAGCGCAGTGACTGGACTCTGCAAGCCACGGGCAAATAAGAACTTCCTAGGGCCTCGTAGGGGTCATGGCTCCTTGCATGGTTCAGGTGCCATTTGCGACTACAGCCCAGTAGTGCGATGCAGCCCAGAGTCTTTTTCTTGTCTGGCATGTGGTACCACTGCTGATACTCAATCTCGCCGCCTGGACAGAGCGCCTTGAAGGCCTGATCTGCTTCCTCCTCTGTGAGGAACTTGGCCAACCTTGGCTACTGCTAGGCACAGCGACATGACAGTGACAAAGCCCCAAAAGCCCCAAACCCCCAGCCCCAAATCCCTAAACTCTTCTGACGAAGTGAGAGCGAAGTGAGCGGAACACAGGACAGGGGAATGCAAGTTGATGGGGAGCCCAGCTCAAAGCCCCGAAATCCAAAAGTCGAAACCCGAAGAGACTTACCGATTGAGCCGCAGTTGCAACTCCGAGTCCCCTGCACCAAGACCGCTGACGTCCTTATCGCCTCCTGGCGGACAGCTTGTTCACATCAGTGGTCCTTCTCTGGAGGTAAAGCAAGGATTTACACGAGGGCTCCGTTTCTGCACGGCCTAAGGAGGAATCAGCGGGAGGGCTTTTGATTCCATTAGGGCTGCACTTTGAGTCCCCGCCAGACTGGAGGTGGCTTCAGGTTTGGCGGTGCGAAGAGGGGTTAAAGCATGGCACCGGAATCTAGCTGCAGAAAAAAACTATGCTTCGGCGGTCAAACTGCTACGGGAATGCAAAATTCGGCTGGTGATGAACACTGACACTTTCAACGGAAAGAACCTGCATGTCAAAATCATGCAATCCCTGAGATCCAGGTTAGGTCCATGCCTGTGGTTTCCAGACATTCATGGCTAAAGCACACCTGGATTCTTGGTCTGAGTATCCAGACTGCTGAACTTCCATAAACCCGAACTTCAAGACTGACACGGAGCATGTTCCGCCTGGGTGGCACGTGAAATTTGGCGCCCGCCCGAAGCCTGCATCGATGTGCGCTGTCCTCCGGCTTTGGTTTTGTTGTTGCCTCCGTCCGGTCAGGTATTGGCCAAAGCATCCATGGAACTCTCTGCTTAACTCTCAGCTGCAGACATAGACTATCCGAGTCTTACAAAGCACTTGCGGTCCCATCGCCGTAGCGGAGTGCTGCTGTGGGTGGCCCCTCAGCACTCAGCTCAGGTCACGTCGGATTGTACGTGGATTGTGGGCTGTTTCGGCTTGCCTGGCTTACCTGCTTTACTTCACGGGTTGTGAGTTGGGAACGGAAACGATTCGGGAATGAAATCCAGAGTCTACACTACTTCGCTGGCTGCCGCTGGCTGTCACGTCACTTCCCAAAGGCATGACTGCAGTGACGACAGGCTGACACCCGCGCGCAACTGAAGGCCTGCCTGTACTTCATGTCCGAGCCCAGACCTAGGACCTTACACGGCTCACTGCCTCGAAGCCATCCTGCCAGCTACGACCCCAGAGCCACCTTGAACATTCCCGCTAGAAACCCCTCTGAAACTTGAGACTCCGCCGGCCAACACAACCACTTTGCCTGAATCCTCCCTCGACGGAACATACGATCCTCAGCTCCGCAATGCACAGAAACAAGGTAAGATGGCTACTTCCACAACCAGGTCTGAAGCTCCTGACCCTTCACTGCCATTCCTCGTGCCCCAATGATCTATGTCAAATTTGTCCAGAGCGACGCTGTGTGCTGCCAGAGCAGTGCGAACACCCCTTCAGGGTACTGGGATCTGATTAACCAAGCGGGGGTCGTTTGTTTGTTTCGAGGGCAGAAAGACGTTCGCACGTCTCGCACGACGCGTTCGCAGGATCAGGTGGCTATAGATGGCCAAAAGCTACCTTCTACCCTGGCCGGCACAGGCCCTCACCAATGATACGACAAGCAGGCTACGAGATTCCCAAAACTTCTGCTACAGCTCTGAGATTCGAGCCTCGAAGAAGCAGCTTCAGGACTGCAGAAAGTTTAGACTAGAGCCTAGAGTCTAGAGCTCTAACTGCAGAAACACGACGCGCGGAAGCACATCTAAGTTGAGACAAGTTAATCCTTCAATCTGTGGCCTCAAAGTGTGCCGTTGTAGGCGGCTGGTGAGCTGAGACCATTTCTGCATGGCCGCTTCGGAATCTGCCATGGTGGCCATGGCGTCAAGTCTCTAGGGCTTGAGCCGATCGGCGTTGCGCAATTCCTTCAGGGATGGCATGCTCTTGTCGTGGCTCAAGGCTTCGGAAGCATGAGCTCGAGAGCGACCCGAGTAATCGCCGCCCTTGAAAGCATCAGCACCCTGCTTCTCCCACCTACGGGGTCAATGCCGAGTTCTCCGCTGCGATGGATTATTAACCTGTGATCGACTCACTGAGACCTGCACTTGATGGCATTGAACGTGTCACCGAGGTCGCCCGCAACGATCAATATGTCGTTCTTGAACTCCTCAAGGGCACAACTCAATCCGCCATCAGGAGCCAACTAGCCCGTCGATGTGCAAGAATGGTTGGAAATGGAAAAGGCAACAACGAGGTGCCAGGGGGGCAGCTGCCATGTCGGATGGAAAGCAGGCCAAATATCGATCGGGGCCGAGGCCTGGGGGTGTTTCTAGCCAAGTGACGTTTGCAGGCCTCTCCTTCATGATTTTCCTCTCGAGTCCTCAAACTGTGACACTCCTGCAAATGCTGAAACCGAGTGATATGGACAAAGGAGGTCCAATCCTGGGCACCATCTTCTGAAGTCATTTGCCCACACTGAACGTTATCTTGCCATCAAAATTGCGTAGATGCCACAGATCGTTCGAAGTGCAGAATCCCAGCTTGCCTTGTCGTTGATGCCTTCAGCCCACTTCAAGACGGAGCCACCGTGGTCAATGTGCACCTTGCAAGGACGGGGTTCATTTGCGCTATATAGGTTGCATGTCTTTTAGGTGCGGTATACATTTGACTGGTGCAATTCAACTCTAAGTAGAACTCGATGCTCAGACTTCTCTCTCAACCTGTGAGTTGGCACACTTGGCAAGTTCTTCCAGATGGCTTCCCCTGTAATGCATTCTCAAGGCAGCTTGAGTCAGCATGGTTCAGCAGCTCAAACTTTCTCGGGCACCGAAACTGGCTGAGGTGTGCACGTCGGAGATGGCGAAGATTCGGCACGAGCCTCGCGGCTTGTTCTTGTCCTGCAGAACACATCCAGAAACAGCGGATGAGCGTTTTGATGCTGGTCCGCCTTGTCTGCGTGTAATCGATGTACCTGCATGACTCAATGTGACCGTATCGACCTTCTTTCGCGGAACCCCCGTGCGGATGCGCATGGATACACAGAAGTGGGGGGAAGAGGGGTATGACAGACGAGTGCCACAAATCCGCAAGCCCCATCTGTCGCTCCTTACTTCGCATACTGTTTATGCAAAACGACATGGGGCTATGAGTCCACAGACAGATGCTCGCTCTCCTCGTCAAATCTGCTCACTCGCCTTTTGGCTAAAGGTGACCTTGGCGACTCAATCTTCACAGAATCACCCAAGCTTTATGGAAAAGCTGGACTCGCGGGATGGCCAGAATCATCGGGAGCTGCATCGGGTGCTGCAAGATCGGGCATTACCGGACAGGTTTCAAGGATGGGCTATCTTCTTCCAGGCTCTCCGACTCCCTGAACCATAGCCACGGAAAGACAAACACAGGCACCGGCTCTAGCAAGGGGATCTGCCACAGCGCGTGCACACATTCCTGCAACAACTCATAGTTGATCGCAGTTGACCACAGGCTTTGCAGCAAAAGCGTCGCAGCGACCAACGTGGACACGAGGAATGACAGTGGGGTGCAATAGGTCCTTCATGGCTTCAGCATAGCCCTGAGGCAGGTCGCTGGCGAAGAGGTACGTCCTCAGCTACTGTCAGGAACTTCAAAGCGGTATAAATTTCAGATTCGAAAGTGGCTGTGGGAGAGAAGTACAAGGACATGTTGCACAAACTTGAATGATTATTCGTTAGGTTGAGCTCAACCCGCAAGACGCTCGTTCCAGGAGAGGTCAACGTTGATGTTGGTGTTGAGGATGCCAACGAGACACAGCTTTCGAACGATGGCTGAATGGGGTTGCGCTGATTGGGATTCTGACCCGGAGGCCTCAACAGGGCCTTAACTGTTAATCTGTTTCAAGCCCCTGGCGGAGGGCCTATTTGCCGTCTGCTGCCAGCCCGAAAACCTGAATTCGACCACACCCACGTTGCACTGTGCTGCCGTTGCCGGCAAACTGGGCCCCTTGCTTGTACGCATGCTCGGCCTCAATGCCATTGCCAGCTCCATGCAACCAAGACTGCTTCATGAGAGTGTGAGAAGTCAGAGGTGCCAGGCTTCGTGCAAAGGCAGGGGGAACTCTCCAAAGCGGGGCCCTTCGTTGTAAGGACAGTGGTACTTCAGGCCGACCCAGGGCTGCCATGCCACCCCAACCCCCCAAAATCACACAATGCAAAGGTGCTGCCCCGGCAGCCTTGGTCCCGTGCAGAAGAAGCACTGGCTGTCAAGTGGATAGGGACATCATGGACCACCCTAGAGTAGCCTCCCTGTTGTTTCGGTGGTGTGTTTTGCTCCGGTGCGAACCGTGGCTCGCAATCTCGCTTTTGCAGAAGCAACGACCGTCACGCAGATCACGACTGTGTGCCAGCCGCTGTCACCATGTTCGAGATGCGGAGTTGCCCCGCATGCCGAAAACTTGCGAAAGTCAAGAGCAACATGACACCAACAGCTCCGACCGATGTCTGCCGAGAGGATGGGGCATCTGTATGCGATTCTCAAAGTAAAACATACGGGACCCCGTGACAGTCAACCTTTTCTGACGGGGATGCGGATGCCTGTATCAACGGGGAAGGGCGGGGGGAAGGCGTTGTGAGAGCCCGGGATAATGGGATGTGCACTACGTCATGATTGGGGTGCCCAAGTGGTCGACAAAATCTGAGGAAGAGAAAGTATTGGTGATTTCGAAGACGTACACTTGCGAGCACGGACTGTCCATTCGCAATGCTTTGAGCTTTGATAGAAGGGAGCGGTGCATCATGAGTTGACATGACTTCTGGGTTTGCTGCCGCGTGCATCACTGAGGACGGACTGAAAATACAAACCAACTTCCGACTTCCTTGACCAATGCAAACGCGCCCTTCGCTTCAACAGAGCTTCAGGCATGTCCCTGCCCAAGGTACGCCGTCGCAATCCGCAGGTGTGCCTTGTACCACTGAGGACCTGCGGGACAGTCGCTTTGAGGTGGCTTGCAATGTGCGGCTTCTGGAGTAAAGCAAGGTCCATGATCGTAGATGCACACGCTGTCGGGCTGTGCTGCCGAGTTGGGAAGTTACTGCTCCTCTGTTGCGATCTTGTCTTGAGATCACAGGACACCCGAAGATGAAACCAAAGCTCCCACATATATGGCTGAGGTTACCACTGAGTCGAGCAGCTTCTTGAGCGTCACCCAGCGAGAAGTACCACTGCCTGATTCAGACTCTAAGAAACCAAGTGGCGTAGCCACACTAAGATGCTTTCCTGCCCCCAGTCTCGGAGCCTCTTGCCCGTTCAAAATCACAGACGCCAGTAACCCGCATCGGCATTTCCAAAATGTTCTGAAGCACCCAGTAGAACTGTAAGCATCATAGGCGGGGGAAGGGGTGTTGATTCCAGTCGTCTTCTTTCCAATTCAAGTACACTGCTCTAGAACGAAGATTGCCGGAAAAAGTGCTCCCAAAGGTCACTGGGGCTGGCACTTTAACTTCGCGAAGGCTGCCGACCGATTGGAGGAGTAGACTGCGGCCTTGGCCAGGCTCACCCGCGCTTTTTCAGTGGGAGGGCCGATAGATGGAGTCCATCGAGTGGAACAAAAGTAAGGTACAGCAGGCTGGGATCATGGGTCGCGTTCTGCTGCTTCTAGTTGAGGTCTTGGATGCAGCACAGATCGAGGCATTTCGGAGCTCTGAACGACGTGGCCAGGGGCCCGTCACTGCCTGCACCGCAGGGTAGCTCGACGGCCTTCTTTCATGGAGCTATCAGTCTCGTCCTCGTGTTAGGATGAGGCCTACTGCAACCATGTAGTAGCCCGTCTGATACATACTGATACACCATGAGTATGGCTTCTTAGTGCTGTCTTCTCCTACTGTGTAATGCTAACGTCGGCTTTGTGAGTGATAAGAGCCACCTGAAGCCACCTGAGCTTCGCACATTCTGCTTGAGATTGGCAGCGGTCTCAGCCAGCGGTCGAATCGCCTCGGTCCACTTACCATCGGCTCCGTCTTTTTTTTCGCACTAAGGGCCTTACTCATGGCAGGGCGGCACGAACACACTCACGGATTCCCACAATTACATGAAAGAAGCCATATCAAATCCCACACCTCAGCGTGCAGTTCCGCAATAAGAGCCCCAGAGTCCGACGGCAAGCGGCAGAAATGTACGGGAGAGGGGTGTCGCACGAAGGGGCAGGCTGCAGAGCTTCGGGCTTCGACTCTCTGCCCAGCAAGGCATCACGACAACAGGTCCTAGGCAGCTTTATCCAGCTACCAGCAATCCGAATCAATACAACCATGAGCCAAACACAAGAGACACAGTATTTAAGCATTGGAGCAGAAGCTCATGAGGTTGCAGGGCTTTCACGACCCTATTGCCACTGCAATCCCGATAGCTCCCACAACTAAACAATCCCTCAAATTTTTCGAGCAGAAGGGCTGAGATGGCCATGGTGTAGCAGGCGATCGCGAGGGGCAGCTGCCCCGCCTTGAGCGCCTCATTGCCTGCTTGGGCTTTCCAATCCGGCTTGCTTGCACGCTTGGCTCTAATGCTCCTATAGCTCTTAGAACTTGGATTGAGTTGGAGGGGGGAGCGAGTGCAGCGGAAGAAGACAACCGCGACGAGTATAATGTATAATGATGATTTCTGGAAACCACCCTGGGCCACGGCATCCTGCACCGGGGACAGGCCGAAAGCATGAAGCAGGACTGAATGCCCAGAATGAAAACCTGGGGGGGGTGATTTTGGCCATGAGTTCATGGCTCTTCGGTGGTGGAATCCGCGGCAGGATTTTTGGCGAAGACCGGGCACCACAGCATAAGTCTGTCTGAATCTGACGCTTCCCTTTAGGGCGGCGACAGCGTGAACATGGGCACGACATTTTGTCGGTGCCGAGATGTTTCTCCGGCAGCGTGCGGAGCGATATGAAGCAACGTTGAAGAAACTGTAGGGAACGCTTTCATTGGGCTTTTTTACCCACTTGCTGCACAATGCCGCTTGACCCAAGATTAATTCGCTATTCTTCCCTTCAAGCCACGCCCAGACACTATATGCGCTTGCGATGTTGCCACTCCTCTGCCAGGGGAGATGTTTGTGCCCTGCTTTCGCGGGGCCCCTGGATTGGTACGGGATCCGGCGCTGGATCTGACGACTCCTGACCAAGCACAGCGACAGATGCAAAGTCACGAGGCAGCAATAATTATGGCATAAAGCACACGACAGAGGATGAACGCTGTGTTTGTGAGGTAGGATGTTTGGATATAGTACATCGTCGGCCTGGTCTGGATCCAGCGAACCCTTCTCGCACGGCACTGCCAGTGTCGCAGCATCTGGCACTGCTGTCTCCAAGGACTCCTCCTGCCCTGTTAGGGTCCGTACCTCTTCCTCAGCTGAGACTATTTCCAGAAGATATCTAGGATGCTGGGAGGTTCCACCATGATGCACAAGTGCGAGGCATCAATGTCAGATCGCTGAAGCAACAAGGAACTCCCGGGCGGCGACCGTCAAAAAGATTACACATCAACCTCTGTTTGCTGGCCTGGTGATGCAAACGAGATGCGACATGCCATGTTAAACATGCTAGCCACGTCAATAGTCGAGATGCCTTCAATACCTCCGACAACATGACGTGACAGAGGACAAGGACACCACAAATCCCACTAAAGTGTTTCACTCCACTAACATTCCTTGTGCCGACTGCCCAGGCCGCAAGGACACAGCGACCAGAGGCCCAGATCTGAAACACACATCAAGTCCTAAGCCAAACACCAAACCCAAATCCCCTCAGCCCTTTAAGCGCCAAGTCTCCAAAACCTCGGGCTCTGCTGTTGCTTGCCCGAAGGCGCGGCTGCGTTGCACCAGTTCCCGCCCATCACGGCGCAGCACCTGCTCGAAAGAACCTAGAAACCACCTCATGCACCGCCTTGACGGCTGCACCCCTGCACAATTGACACGTCGTTGGCTGCAGCGATGTGGGAATCTCGACTTGTGGTGTAGTTTTACTCGACGTTGAGGCTGACAGCTGGCTGCGATGGAAAAGGGTCTAGGGCCAGGATGAATGGCTCAGAAGGTCTTGGTGATGATGCTTGTCATGCCGTAGTTGCTGCTGGTGGCGCTTCTGCATGCTGCTGCAGGCTGTGAGATTCATGATGTTTGGATGCCGACCATGATACTGATGATCATGCCTGCCATTAGTCGATGCCTCTTCCCTGGGCAGCTTCTTATTGAAAGCGAAACTCAGAGGCGACAGAAATCCGGAGCACAGGTTTGCTCCAGAGCTTCACGGGAGCCCCAAAACTGCCCACCTGGACGGCGAAGCAAACCAATCCGAAGCCCACCATGAGCATGGAGATGACGATCGTGCCAGTGAGGTCTGCCAGCGTGAGACCTTTTAATGGGACATCGACTTCTGTCAAGACGCCCTTTTTTGGGCAAGACCCCAAGGGACAAGATATACAATGATTTCCGAGCTTTGCTTTGGACCTGGGAAAGCTTCAGCATTGCCCGACTTCCTGCAAGATTTCCCGCGTCAGTCTGGAAAAATATAAACACTACTACATGCGCAGCCTGTCAATATGAACTCGAGAGGCTGCATTTTCGGACACCTAGCAAGACCTACTCGGCCCCAACATACCAGAAGCTTCGTACAACAGGGCACGGAAGAAACACAGAAAGAAGACGCAAAGCATCCAAGGGGCCGTCTTCTTCGCTTCGATCTTCGACGACTGCACACTGCGACAATGGAAAAGCTTCTTTGTTGAGTTCTTTCGCCTGTTCAAACAGCCCGGCAGTAAGGGCTTGCGTGACGGCCCACGACATGCCGTGAGCCAACCTATCGCTGATCGGGAAAGACAGAGGCACGCTCCAAAGAAGATCTCCCACGCGCAGGAGCTCGCAATCGTTTCGTGCGTTGCCAGGGTTAGTCTCAGTGGTCGTGCATCGGCCCACTTCTTCGGAGACTCTTCCGGCGTTCACATCATCACAGTCGGCTTGCTGGATCAATCCGGCGTGCAAGCTGTTGATAATATCCTCCGAGACGATCATGGCTCGACATCTCCCCGCATGCAAAATACGGGCGCATTTGGCGATGGCATCGCAGTCAACAAAGGTGGCGGCCCCGAACAAGGTGCTGAAGGTTGGTGTCAGAACTGCGGGTGCGCAGATTGGGACGCCAGCTGTGATGGCATCTTCGATGCCTCGGTGGTTGAATCATCAGGTTCTGGGGTGTTGTAGCAGTAGGAGTCAAGTATGATCTACAGCAACTCAAACGATAAACGATGGGGTGTCGCGATGGCACGGCTCTTGCAAGTGAAGACGGCAGGCCTATTTCCTGCAAACTGGCCAGGCAAAACCTGAAATGGGTTTTTCTCTAAGGCACTGTTGATCTCCCCAGAAGCTTCTCGCTGAACTACCAGCATAGACGCCAGGCTCGCAGTGTAGCCTTACCAACGGCACAAAGAGAGATGCTGGTCCTCTGCCCCAAATCCTATAAGTACAGCCTCCCGATGCAAGTACAGGCTCCCGCCTACCAGTAGCATTTCGAAACGCCCGAACCCTACAACCTAAATCGGTGAGAAGCTGGCAAGCGTGACAAGGATGAAGAAGGAAAAGGCGAGGCTGAACAGCTTGTGCGCAAGGCCTGCAGACCAGGATGAATGCCGAATGTGAGACTCGGAAGCTTGGAACCTACCTGTTGTCAGTGAACAAGTGCCTAGGATGTCTGAATGTGGCTTCAGGAAGGTACATTTCTGTTAATTGAACGGCCTCTCTCGACCTCGTGACTGCTCTGGCCAAGAAGGAAGTCGTGCCAAGTGTTGAACAAGAAGGTCCCCAATTCCTGTGCAATGGTGCGAGCACAGTGCCGAGGACTAGCAACTGGACTTTCAACAGAGTCCCGACGTGTCGTTCTACAATTTGGCTGAATCATCCTAGTCAGGTGTGCCAAATCAGGCGGGACTTGAGCTGCCGTCTTATCGGTCCTCCAAGCTCCACTGGCAGCCTTGTCTCTCTTTGGCGGGCGTCTCACAAAGCCGGACCAGCCAGAGCACCGTCGACAGACCACACAGAAAGGCGAAGACTCCCAGCCAAGCATCTGGTGTGAAGGGAAGGAAAGGCCTTTGCAAATAAGACAGCAAGGTCACCTCCTCGAACTTTCGTGGCACGACCAAGTAGAACAGGTCCTGCCTTGGGATAATGGATCCCGCAACCAGCTATGCTAGCAAAGCCTGCCCAGCTTCTCACCGGTGCGGACATGCTAAACAGCCAAGTGACCGGATAGTTGGCAGGAACCAAGCCAATCTGTGGCGAGCCGGCGTGAGCCACAGGTCTGCGATACAAACATCGAAATTTCCAACTGCGACGTCGTGCACGCATGCGGTGTAGCTGCCTGTGCAGCTAAATAGCGCCAGGTTCATTCTTCCGATTCTAAGGATTCCAAGTTTATTCCAAGCCGACAAGGCAACACCTAATACCAAACAGGAGCAAGTGGCTGCGGAACCTCTGCCGCGATTGTTCCGTGGCCCAGCCCGGGAGAAGATTCAGCTGCGCAGGGGGATCGAACAAGTTCAGAACGCTTTGCAAGAAATCGTAGCTCGGCCCACCATACTCCACATTACCTGCGCGTGATCGCTGTCCGACAGACCCCCGATAATCACAACAAAACCTCTCCAAAAGCACCACGCAGTTGAGCTCCAGTCAAATCCCGTCAAGCCAAAATAAGCCAAAGATGCCAGTGGATGAGTTGCGCTCGATCACCCAAGGCACAAAAGGAGCGACAACGGCACGGATGATGTTTCCGCCCAGCTCCTTGGAATGCCTCGTCGGGTCGTAGAGGTTGACAGAACCACACGTCTCCTTAGAGATGTACAACCGTGTGCAACACATGCACACTTCCAAAACGAAAGCCGTCACGAGTGCCGCACCAGCTTTACAAGCTGGTTTTGCCTTTCCGCATCTCCTGTCACACAGTCTGCTTCGTCACAACGTCAACCCAGCCCAACTTCTGATGCCTTTTGCCGCTTTTGCCCCACAATCAGTCAAGCTAAACCGCGCTCGAGCACTCGATCCTTACTTGCAACCGGGGCGTCGTAGCTGTAGTATACCGAAAAGTTCAACAGGACGGTGTAGTCTCTCGGCCGAGTTCGGCAGTATGGAGAGATGTCACTTCCCAATGCTGCTCCTGCTGCATGACAATAGTCCTCGTTCACAGGGCACCTTGGGCACCAGCGGTGCTCACCAAAACTCAGTTGCCCTGTTGGCAGTAGGTCTTACCGTGCCCAAAAGTTTGGCTAAGTCTAACCAAAGAAGAAAGCTTGCAGAGGGCCCATGATGAGGCACAAGGACATGTCCACATAGCCTCAGCTGCGGAGTTCGACGTGCTGCAATCGTAGACTTATGGCCCTCGAGGCCAAGAGCCGAAAGCAAAGCACCCCAGGCCCCTAAGGCCACTCAGGCTTGGTCACGACACACTATCACTGGGCTTGGAGCGTGAGGACTTCCGGATCTCGTGTTTGCCGAGGAATGTGAAAATTGTGTGGTCGGAACAGATGCCCTAAACTACGGTCCGAACTCTGCGCAACTTTCAGACGAAGATCACCATGGGTTCGCGCAGTGTGCTGGAGCATCCTCCTCGCTACAGCCGTCCAGAGAAGTGCCTGCAGCGTATGCTCTGCACCCATTGGCACCGTAGTCTGCTGGAAAGCCGCTTGCCTGGGTCGTGTTGTGAGAACCCTAAACCCCTTCTGCAGCAGGCTTGCCTCGTCAAACCCTAAGCCCTAAACCCGTTTTTATCAGCACGGACTTACTCTAAAACCCTTTTTTTGAACCCAGACTCTGCCAATCAGCTTAAACGCTTGCTGCTTCAGATGAATCATTACGGCCCTGATGTAGAATGCAGTGTTGGCTGGTCTGATGAAGAACTTGGAACGGGCTCAGTTTCTTTACTAGTTTCTTTAATTAATCTCGGCAAGCATCTGCATGCCCACATCTGTGACGGAGCTGATGGAACCAGATACTGATTATATCTCCGAAAAGTTAGGCATTATGCACGATGCTGCAACGCAATGAGATGCTCATGCCCACTCCTTAAATCCTCAATCTCCTAGCGCCTGCATGAGACGAGAGCCCGCGGCGTGAGCGATGTCTTGCAAGTGCCACCAAAGTTCAGAGCGTGCGAAACATAGCAAGGCGGGAATGAGTGTCACAACGAGGTTCACAAAACGATCGTCCCATACGTCTGATGCCTGAGTAACTGATCAGTTAAGCTGCCACCAGGACAGTTTTAAGCTGCCCGTAGATGGCCGAGCTGTTGGTTATGCAGGGACATTCTGCAGCTCCTGCTTGATCGGATGCCTGCAATGAGGGCGGCCGAACAAGGGGGTACCTGTAGGTGCGTCACTGTACTGCAGACGAACATGCACATGCCATGACATTCCACATGTACCTACCCATTACACATACGCATAAACCTGGACATGTACACATATGTACGGACATCGCATAGTCCACATCTACCATGTCTATCTCACGGGGTTCTGTGCAAAATGTCAACCCCTGGCGAAGCATCCAGTAATGTCACACCAGCAGCACACCAGAGAAACTGCAGGTAATTCAGACATCACGAGGGATCTGAACCTCCAGGACTGCTTCAGGCTTCGAACGGTGCCTCGGGCCTGCATGCGTGGCCACTCCGACCATGCAAAAGTTCAAGGGGGACAGAGCAAGAGGATCGGAGCAATGGAAATGATACCAACCGTGTTGACAAAAGAGAAACACAAAAACAAAGTTGATAATCAAAATATCGTTCTCAACGACAAGCACAATGCAGCTCCATTGCAGTCACGCTGCGTCCTGCGCTTCGGCTGCATGCCAAAGGAGCAGAAAAATCACACCGAGCTGCATGGCTTCTATGCAGATTTGACATGGGCATGCCTAGTTGCTACGACGCTGCAAGTCTGGGAGGTTGTTGAGGTCGTGCTTTTCGTCGTTATTGTTGCTGCTATCGGTGCCGTCGCTGTGTTTGTTAAACCGCTCCAACGCTTCACAACATGAGCCGAAACTGGATGAAATCGAAAATCGGCTGAGAGTTTGGCACTTGCAGCACACACACACACACAACACAAGTTCTGGTGAAGCTACCTCACATCTGCGTCTTTGTCATGGCAAAGAACCGGGCCGGCAACCAGCAATAAGAAAGGCGCGACCGCGCTCCAAGACAAATATGTAGAACGCGACAATCAGCGTCAGACTGAGAGGCCTTTGGACTTCTTGAGCTCGGCTTCGCTTTGGCGATCGGAAGGCGATTTTCCTCCATTCAAGCAAGAGGTTACAACAGCTCTACGAACTTGGATTCAAGATGCCGCTGCCACACAGCAATGACTCTGAAGACAAACTTCGCAAAAGGGTTTGTCTTTACCGAAACTTCCTCTCGCAGAAAATGCGCTGGTGGGTTCTGGCGGCCCCTTGCCAACTCTGATCATCATCCATCCACGGCAAGACGACCATCCAACCATTTTCGGATTCATGGGTAAAGTTCTATCCCAAACTTTCTGTAGAACTGTCGTCACGAATCAATACGAAACAAATTGAAACCCCTTGCGGAAATCTTCTTGTCAACTTTCAAGTCTAAGCACAACCAAGCCTTCCCAAAGCCCCCAGCGTCCCGAACCCTGTCCTTGCATTAGTGACTCCGTGGCTTTGCTGAGGCCGGCCTGCTCCAGCGGGGCTGCTTGTTCCTAATCAGTACCCTAAATAGTAGGATCCTTATTATAAGGACCCCAAAATAAGGTATTGAATGTTGCAGGCGTTTGCATCCAAGCTTGTTTTGGCCAGGACCGTGCGCGAGGGGCCAGGATTCGGAAGCTTTGGGTCCTCGCAGCTTCGTCTTATGGGCAACCGACCCGTGCGAGCTTCGCTTCAGGACGAGCTGGAGGTCAAAGGAAAGTCTCTTGGCTGCTGGACCTAAAGTCCTAAGGCCTACTACAGCTCAAACAGGACCGCTTTAGAACACAAACAGCTCGAAGTCAAAGCCCTGCTCAGCTCGTCCTGAACCCAAAGGCCTCTTGAAAACTGAATGTGCCATGATCCAAGCGGCCAGGTAGCCCTCGGTGACGGGGTCGCTCCGAACGGCTTGGATGTAGCTCGCCCTGAGGTAGCTGAAATCAAAGGCCAAGCGGTGTCTGTGAAATGTATACACGCACACACGTACATACGCAACCCTATGTGCACAAATCGTGCGGAAGACCCAGCAGACTGTATGGGGCATGGCCGTTGCAAATTGACGTGTGTTTGCGTGTTTAGCAAGCTAGCTAGCTGGTTCGTTCGTTCCTCGCTAGTTAGGTACATATTTCTCTATAGTTTTACGTATGTATGAAGGCATGTATGTATGTATCCTTTCATTGTTTATTTCCTGAAATACGTGCTTAGGATTGCTTGGGCATTCTATGTACACTTTTTGGTTCCAGCTTACACCCGGTTGTTCATTCATTTGTTCATTCATCCATCCAAGTTTCACCTTTACCTCCAAATCGGATCTCGTATAAATCCTGAACTTCGAGCCAGCAAGCAGCCAGCACTAATAACTCGCCCCCAAGCAGCTGCAGTAGCATAAAAGGTTCAGTACCCCCGCACTGCCTGTGCTTTTGTCCCGACATGTGTACTGTTGTGTCCCCGGCCGGTGCTCCTTTCCTCCACATCGTGCGACTGCTGCGCAGCCACAGAATGTACATTTCCTGAACATGGATATATCCACCTGCCCGCGTACCGGCATGCCAAACCATGCACGTCAGCAAATGAATGTTTAAGTATACTTCTGTATACAGGAACTATGTGTTGTTAGTACGTGTGTGTGTGTGTGTACATTTTTAGCACTCGCGCTCTATGTATGTGTATATACATATATGTATAATATATAAATTATATAAACAAATAAATATATATATATATATATGTGTGTATATATATATGTTTTTGCTTATCTATGTCTCTTTATTTCTTTCTTTCTCTCAGTTGAGCATAGCGCGTAGGGGTCGTCCCCTGAGCCTCAGGCCCGCCCACCCACCCCCAAGTGCTATGCGGTGGGTGGCCTTGGGGCGGCCATGCATCGGCATTATCAGCGCCGTTTGCTCTTTGCTTGTCAGCTGCGACCCAGTACACTAAGCAGTAACACTACCCCCGTGCTCGTAAGCCCAACTCGTCGCATGCTCCCTCCTCAGATACTGCGCTTGTCCGGTCACGTGGGAGAAACACAGAAGCAAAACAAATTATGTGTGTATATATAAGTATATTATACATACATATACAGATACACATATATATATATATGCATATATACATGTGCATGTCAGTTTGCATACATGTAACTGTCCTCCAAAACACTGGAGTTATCAGTAGAGTTTCCGCCCAAGAGGCCAAAGAAACCTTCCCAACATCTACCCATAGGCCCCATCGTAGTTCCTTTTTTGGGATTCTTTCAGAGGATCCTAAATATAAGCCACAGAAAGGAACTACTATGGGGCCTATGGGTAAAGCTATGGCGGATCGAGGCCCGGGCTGCGCTTCGGCTGCTTTTCCCAAGCCAAGCCTCGGCAGCAAAGAACCATAGGATGTACGAATATAATAGATCATATAGTATAGTATGAAATAACATCACATCATTAATATAGTATAATATAAAATGATATAACGATATGATACAAGATAATAGTGTATATTGGGTCATATAATATGATATAACATAGTGCAAAGACATGATATAATGTAACAGCGATTTTTGCTCAGTCTGCTGTTCTGCACGGAGGCAGAATCACCTTCAGTCTCAGACTTTATCGAAAAGCTTCTTATTACATGCTCCGAAGCTATCAGTACAAATGGCATAACTTGGAAATCGGTCATGTCACATCAAGCAACTGTTCCAAGTGAAGGCCACCACCTGCCGGGCCTTGAACACACCTATGACCTGAAAACGAAAAAACCCGTCCCATCGTGCCCCCACATGTACGAGCAGTGTTCAGGATCCTGGCCTCCCATGCTCTCCCGCTGTGCTGCTTTTCTGCCTTCTAGGTAGCCGTCCAGTCTTAAGAGCCTGAGGGTCCACGCAACAGCAAACCGACGCTCGAGCGGGCGATGCTGACGGCGTGAGAATTGGAACAGGGTACTCCGAGGCTAACGACAACTCATGAGGCAGGGCGCCAGTACTCACCTTCGAGGACTCCAGGGGGAACGGTTGGCTCAAAGACGGTTCACTGCCTGGGAATCTCTATTGCTCCCGTGGTGGTCCCAAGCTGCGGTGGGAATAAGCACGACATCGCGGCTTCTCACCGGAGGTCCCCTCGTGGTCAGTGGCTGCTACTGCTATGGTGATCTGGGACAACCGCACGAGACTACAATAAGTTGCCCTCATTCTGTCTCGGGGATCTTGATAGTGAGAAATACGGGCCACATGAAGTTCTGCCTTTGACAGATGTTCGCGAAAGCTTCCCAACTAAAAACCCCAGACGTGTGCCAGAGTGAATAGCTTCGTGCCTTCTGCTGCCTCGTTCGGAAGATAGCTGCTCTCGACATGCCCTATGCTTCGGCTCATAGAAGCTCGCTATGTCAAGTCGAGGTTCGAGGAGTGCATTCTGACACTTGGTCTTGAGCTCAGTATAACTCAGTCGACGGATTAGGGAAGGATGGTACTTGCAACAAGGCAGCAAAGGCACATCGCCCTCCCCGGAGGCCCCGTGTCCCCTGTCAGCTCCCGTCTCCGCGCTTAAACCAACAACGCACTCTTTCTGCAGGGCTTCGTCCAGAGCTGGCAGACTAGGGAGACCCTCGAACTCCAACTTCAAACAGGACACCGTTCTTAGTGTCACTATGCGAAACCTAAAACGGAAGACCAAATCCCGTCTCCAAAGTTCGGTTCAGATTGAAGCTCTGATTTTACCTGATATTCTCAATACCAAAACTTCCAACAGACATGCGCACTTGCTTAAGAAAGGACAACCGACACACAAATATCCAGCGAATCAGACTTACTGGCCCGTTCTGACTCCCAACCGGAATGTTGCGGGGCCAACAGGCTATATTGAGTCCCTCGGAGAGGCAAACGAAATTGCGGCGGCACGCAAGCACAGCCAGCGCACCCGACCGGCGGACCGGACAAGCACGCACCTGAGTCGGTATATACTGCCAGTCAAGTAAATTGGCTCACTTCTCAAGCCAAGCCAAACCCTGAGATATACTGTATGCTGAAATTGCCATCGAATGACGTCCGCCGTTTCCATGTTCGCATAAGCGTTTTCACTCTGATCGGCCAACATGCACCGATGTGCAGATAGATAGGTAGATGATAGATGAAGATAGATGAAGTGGACGGATCCGCAGATAGGCAGGTGCGTAGAGAGACGCTGAGATAAATATATGGATGATGCAGACACTCGGTGTTCACCACATACACTTCCTGAACAACCATTGAGGCACCCTCCAGAACCTGACCTGCCGGATTCTAGGGAATGCTTCCATATGCCTGGAGAACCGAAACCACGCCCCTCATCTCTGTGACGTTCGGGAACTTATGCTGCGTCTACATGCTTACAGACCATCCTCAAATACACCGGGCTAGAAATGGATCAAGAGGAGCAATGAACAACCCGGTGCCTTCGAGCCTTCGAGGTTCAGGAGCTCGCTCAAGTAAGCTTTGGATAGTAAGCTGTGTAGAACCATTCGCTAACGGCTTATGGACCAGTACGGCGGGATCCAAAGCATTTTCTTACATCCTGGAACTACAAGATGCAGCACTCATCCTAAACAAGCCGGCCCTTGAATTTTTCATGCAAGCCGGAGCAACAGCAAGCGTCGTTTGAGAGCCAGTTCACCAGATCGTAACAAGCTGGCATTAACATTCGGGAGGATAGATCGAGAAGCGCTGATTGCACGTGCCTCCTCTAGGTAGCGCCTGTGGTTGTCAAAGGAGTCTAGACTTGAGTTCGATAAATTCCTAATATGTCCGAACTACCATCTTCGCGTCCATACCAAGTCGCTAGGTCATCCAGATCAGAAGGAAGGGATGTGCGACTTTTGCAATGGCAGGCATGTGAACGTTAGAACGTGATTTGCAAGCTGAGGTCAGACAACGTAACGTGTCTTTCTTCCGTTTGGCCATAAGGCTTCTGCTTCGTAACATCCTTTAGATCTGTCGAAGGGCTCCTTGGAAGCTTCTGTATTGTACCATCTTCTCGGCTCCATCCAGGGGATGCTCATTGTAAGCATCCTCTGCTTTCGCCGTCGCTCTGGTAGGGTATCCAGAAAGGCTTCAACGTCGCAAGCAAATGAATTGTTCGCGGAGTTTTGAGGATACATACATCCCGGCCTGTCCATGCAAGCTTTTTTCCGACTCCTCCTATCATGCTCTTGTGTAGCATTATCTGAATCACTGTTTGCTCGATGGGTGCTAAGCTAAGCACGGAAGACCACACACACACACATCACATCGTGACTGTGACGGACCCGCGGCTCCAGAGCTGGCAGAACCCACTTTTCACACCTGTGGTTCGAGCCCGGCTAGAAAACTCAGGTTGTAATCTTTAACCAATTGGATTTTGCCAGGAGGATACAGCTGCTAAAGGGATTAAAGGCGGCATACGACGCGTTGATTGAGGATGCCGAGGTTGCAGCCACCTACATACACATACACCGTCGCATACGAGCGAAGGTATCTTACTCGCAACTCTACTTTTGACTCCGAGACTCACAGGGGGACGTGGCTCACGATCCTGTTCCAGAGGGTTGGGTTTCGGAGCGTCTCGGGTATCGACCAAAAAGGAATCAAATGCATGCCACAGCCGGGGCTCATTCAGTCGGTTCTACCAGATCAGTATAACTGGCTTTGGAGCTTTCACGAGGAACGTCAGAGGTCGGATGCAGCGTCAGCTCAGCACAAAGGTTTCTGTGGGAGCTGGTTTCCGCAACTGTTCTACCCTTTGTCCTTGTTCGCTCTCAAATGTCGACAGGTGCTGAGGCTGTGCTGTGTTCGCATAGCGGGCTCATTTTGGAAACCTTTGACTCAGCCGATCTTGACCCCCTGCAACTGGGCCGCGCGCTGCGCAGGCAGGGAAAAACGTCACACTCCAGGGGTCTTTTGCTTTTGCCCCTCTCCCAATGTTGCTGCTCGAGGTACTCGGGGTCCTCTATGTGAATCGAACGCCGCTTTGCATCAGCATGCCAATCCAATGACTTGACTTTTTCGCAGCTTGCGTGAACCAACGTTGGAGAGCAAGAGGACCCGTCAACTTCATTTTGGGAGCTCTAAGCAAACAGTGCTTGGAGGTTGTCTGGCAGCCACACTACCTGTTCCGCCAATGCGGATGTTGACTTCCGCACAACTTTTGATGTCATGTTGTGACTCTATCATGTAATCATAATCTATCTACAACATGGCAACCAGCCCAAACTTGTTGCTTTGCATGAAGGTCTCCCTCACACGAAACGATTGTCTGCTGGGACTTCTGTCAGTTGACCCTGGGGAGACGGGAAAGTGTCTACTGGCACCAGCTTCGTTGCGAAGCACTGTTCTTGAAGCAATGCTCAATCAGAGTTGGTCAAAACGGCTCATGCGCTTCAGGCATAGCCGAGCTTGCAGTTGTGCAGCGGCAGCTGCGCAGCCAAACCGACTGCCGCAGTCTGCAGCACGAGCTTCTGCATGTCTCATAGCCAAGTAGATCTTCAGTGTTTTTTGTGAAGGCTCAATCTTGCAGCAAGTCCTCTGCATGTCAATTCCAACAGTGAGAAAGCGGCCAAGGACCCATCTGTGGTTCGATCTGTTATCGATTCTCAATATGGCTCAATGCTTCGGACTTCGGTGAGGTATCCAAATTGAATCTACACGGCTGTCAAGCAGCTAAAGGCCTTCACCGCCCTCTAGTCACTAGTTTTCACAGCTTTGGAATTGCTTTTCCTGTTAGCCGAGCTATATCGCCAAAGCAGATCTTTCATCTGCATGTATCTGTCTACCCTACGAGCATGAAGCACCGAAGCAACTCTGCGCTAGTTTTTTGAAACTGATATAGGCTTACTTTGCATCGGCCATGACAACATGGCTGCAGTGAATGCAACCATCGCTAACATTCACCGAGGATCAGCGTATTCTGCGCATCTGCTGTCACTCAGACGCGTGTACCGGCACCGGTGGGCTCCTTTACAAGGGCGGCTTCCGTCGAAGAGAATGATCTTCGACAAATGTCATGGGAACCAGACGATGCTGACGACGACGACCGGTTGCTGAAAAAAGGAGTGCAAGCTCTAAGCTTGCAATACTTCCCGACTTGTGGCGACACGTGTTGTTGTTCTGCTGTTGCGTGTGTGCACGTGTGCGTGCGCGTGCGCGTGAGTGATTGAGGGAGTGAGCCCTGCGAGCGAGCGAGTCAGTCAGTCAGTCAGCCAGCCAGTCTGTCGGTGTGCATGTGCTCGTGTCTGTCTGTCTGTCTGTCTGT